GAATGAAACTATGTGTAAATAAAAATTTTCTATCAATATTTTATCGAAGGGCTGTGGGTAGAGATAACCTTCAACTAAGTTGAAAATCCGACAAAATGAATTAAAAAGAAATCTCATTCAATTTAATAAAATGAAATAAACAATGAATTATACATGGCCGAAGGAAATGACGTGCAAAATAATCATTCGGAAGCATATTGCTAATTTATTACCAAAAATAACTATTCAATATGCAACACAAGAGCAATTTTCCACTTGTTTTATTACTGACGAACTAAATTAATTTGCTTTGCGCATCCGATTTTTCATCGCGACTTTTACGCACAAAAATCATCATAAAAATTCAAATTCAAACAAAATTAACATTCAAACTATTCATTTCCCATTCCCCGGACTCTCCACTTTTCCAAACCCAAACGTTGGCGTGTCGTTTTAATGAGGATCGGACGTCGTTGGAGGCTAATTACGAGCCGCGGAAGATATCTCAAACGGCGGAACCAAGGAGAGGTCACCACCGAGAAAACAGTCCACCCATTGAAAAAAAATTTGCCGGATTTCCGTTCGTACGTAAAAAAAAAGAGGCGAAAAAGAGAGGGAAAAAAATAATACTCGCGCTATCGAGGTCGTTGCATAACATATCGATAACAACTCAGTGAAACGTAACAAGTAACACTGCGAGGTGGTGAGTCCACACCGCAGATACATAATTATTCAGTTATTAAAACCTGGAAAAAAATATTTCATTCAGAGTTTTCGTTCACCTTTTACTCAATGAATCTCTCCATTTCCGTTTTTTCCTCTCTGTTCTTTTTTCTCTCTCTCTCTCTCTCTCTCTCTCTCTCTCTCTCTCTCTCTCTCTCTCTCTCTCAATGGAACTAGAAAATATGTCAACGAGCGCACAACAGGCCGGAAGCGTGCGATTCTAACTCACGATTCGCTTGCGAGGTCACGTAGAAAATCGAGGGGAGCCTCAGAAGTCATTCAAGGGGGAATAAAAAAATATGTACAGAACAACAAAAATGCCAAGACGCGAGTTTTTCGTGCGTTTCAATCGCTCCTCTCTATCTCTCTCGGTCTCTTTTTATTTCACCTCCAAGTATGGGGAGTTGTACAACGCGGGACATGTGAGGTACCTTCGGGCGAGGATCCTGACCTGAGCCAACACTTCGTGACGGCCAATATCCGGTCCGGATCATCTGCCTCGGGACAACTTCCAAGTTACGAATGGAGAGAGATAACATCATGAGATGTTTACTCGTTTCTATTAAAAAAATAAAATAAAAAAAACTACGTGGGCTTTTAGTGTTTTGGTTTCCCCCCGAGTAATTGGAGAGAAAATAATTAGCGGAAGGAGTGAGAAGTTGTGATTAATTGGTCTTGAATAAAAGTGAATTTAGGGGTGTGTGGAAAATTTTAGGGTTAACTGTTGAAAATTTTTGAATTTTCCGTGCCAAATCCCGGAAATTTTCATCGCCTTCAAGTTCCACTGGAATTTCAGGAAATCTTGTGGTTGAAAAATCAAGGATTCCATTGATTTTCCGTTCAAGTGATCTGGAAATCAATAAAATACTTGATTTTTCAGTTCAACTGTTCCATGAAAATTCTGAAAAATCAGGAAATTGCAGGGAAAAATTGCAATTTCATGTCATTTTAGTTCCAACTGAAATTTCAGGAAATCTTGTCATTGAAAAATCAAGGATTCCATTGATTTTCCGTTCAAGTGATCTGGAAATCAATAAAATACTTGATTTTTCAGTTCAACTGTTCCATGAAAATTCTGAAAAATCAGGAAATTGCAGGGAAAAATTGCAATTTCATGTCATTTTAGTTCTAACTGAAATTTCAGGAAATCTTGTCATTGAAAAATCAAGTATTCCATTGATTTTCTGTTCAAGTGATCTGGAAATCAATAAAATACTTGATTTTTCAGTTCAACTGTTCTATGAAAATTCTGAAAAATCAGGAAATTGCAGGGAAAAATTGCAATTTCATGTCATTTTAGTTCTAACTGAAATTTCAGGAAATCTTGTGGTTGAAAAATCAAGTATCTCATTGATTTTCCATTCAAATGATCTGGAAATCAATAAAATCCTTGATCTTTGAGTTCAATTGTTCTGTAAAGGCATCACCGAGCATATCGCAAGGGGCCGGGGTGGCGCTAGTGTTTCAAAAAACCCGGCGGGCGCCGTTCCACCTCGCATTTTCAAACGCCCCTCAAAACAATTTATCCTCCTCACATCACCCTCAACTCACTCCATCCGACTCCTAGAAAATGAACAAAAATTTTTCACGCCACCCTCCAGATTTTTCCCCTCCCTTTCGACTAAGAATTCACGCCACAACATTCTCCCCCAATCTCTCGGCTGAAAATCACCGAATAAATAAAAATACTCATTTCAATTTAATAAACCACACCGACAAAACAAAATCACCCAATCAATCACCCCATGAATAATCGTTAGTACCAGCGTTAAAGGAACATTGGAATAACCAAGCATGTGGGCTAACTATATGGTAGGGTCTGCTTTCTATGCGCGGGCGACAAGAATGCAATGATACCCTCAAAAGCCCCCANATTCAACTGATCTGGAAATCAATAAAATACTTGATTTTTCAGTTCAACTGTTCTATGAAAATTCAGAAAAATCAGGAAATTGCAGGAAAAATTGCACTTTCATGTCATTTTAGTTCCAACTGAAATTTCAGGAAATCTTGTCATTGAAAAATCAAGTATTCCATTGATTTTC